TATTTAACGTTGTGTATATCGAAAAGCTTTGAACACACTTCCGCTAATACGTGCTGCAGAGGACGGGTGGTAAATGGTGGCGGTCAAAATTGAACGTCGTTCGGAGACCCGGAAGAAAAATACGGTATTTTTTTTTTTTTTTTATTTTATTTTTCAAGCAACGCTTCATAGCACTCCGGAACTCCCTACAGTGGGTTGTCTAACTACTATATTAGGTCCACATTGTAGGTCCCGTATAAATGCCAGTAGGTATTCCTTTAAATATATACAGTTCCGAAACTCCGATGAACTCTAAAAGGCGAGGGGACGGCGGCAGGTAGCGTCATTTGCCAAAATATTATCGCCTTTGACGTTCAACGAATGCAGGACGCACAGTAGTTACCGGTAAAAACTTATTATTATTATTTTTTTTTTACAAAAAAAAAAAAAAATAAATAATAACGTCCCGACCTGCGCATATAAATGCATTTTGTTATTATTATTTTGAAAATCTGAAATTAGCTAAACACTTATTAAAAGTGACGTTCGCATGCTGGTTACGTCCAAAATATACCGTTCGAAACGTAAGTAAAATTTGAATACTATATTATTTGTAGAATGAATATTTAAAATATTTTTGATCGGTATTCCCGTTATTTTAATTTTCTTCTGAATTTTGTCACTTTAAAACGGATAATATATATGAGACAGCTACACATATTTTATATATTATGTAGTATTATTATGCTATGGTACTTCAGTGTTAAAACGTATGTTTTATAAATATTTAAAAATAATTGTGTAACTATATAGGTATTGAATAAAGTGCAATTTAACACTACAGTATATACACTTATTATAAAAATAACAATAAGATAATGTGTTTATGTTAAAAATATTGTTTTAATTTAGTTTAGGCAAGTAAAATAATAATAAAAAAAAAATCGATAAACCAATATTACTAAATTGTATGGTATGTCAACAATGATATTTTTGGTTTTCGCATTATTTTATTAATGGCCAAAAAAACCTCTAAAAAACTGGGTATGTACATTATACGCAGCTGAGGCTGGGAAACTCGTCTGCCATCAATTATTATTTTCGCTCGAGTCGGTATATTATTTTTATAACAATATACTTTATTTTTATATCATTATTAATTTATATTTGTGTTTTAAAGAAAATGATAAATTATATTATATAAAAAACGATTCCGAATGAATTTCAAGTAGTATATGTTCCACGTTTTTTTTAAAATGCTGAATATTTTGAATTTGACTACATTATTTTTGGAGCTTTTACTCACGAAAAACCCTTTGGAAATTAAATATTACCATTTAAAAATATCATTTTAATCAATCGAAATTAGTTTGTTTTCTCTATACCAAAAAGTATTTAGAAAAAAAACACTACTACTTATCGCTGTTAAAACAATTGATCTCCCTTGCATTGTTGTGTTTTATATTCATATCATGTATGGTCTTATCTAGATAAATGGAAAACAAGTTATCTGTTTAATTATTCGGGTTACATGATAAACTATTGTTAAAATACATGTTAAACTATTAAATATTCTAGATACTTAAAAATTTGGTAATTTTTTCATTATTATCAAAATATATTTTCGAAACATTAACTTGTAGGGTTTACTTTTAACATTTAGTATCATGATATGAAATAAAAAAAAATATTTTTTTTTGTATCCAAATAAAACGTTGCTGGTTATTTATCTTTATTTAAATAAAATAAATTATGATTTATCGTTTACCTTCATCTTGATAACTAATTTTTTTATTCTAGCTGAAATCTATTATCTATGTATTAATCTAGTATCTAGATAAAATTAACATTTATCTTTATACAACATTGCACCACTTGGTCCACTCGAAATATCGAATTATACTAAACAAAAACAGCTAAGTTTCATGTTTACTAGATGTGTACTTTAGATATTTTAATAATTATGCACCGTGCACCATAAATTACTTACGATATTAGAATTAATATTACAAAACACAAAGTCTCGATTCATGTAATTTTGGTTTAGTCAACAAAAACGTTAATAAAGGAACGTGTACTTACCCTAAAGTTTTATACGCTGACAGTTCCATTTATTTATAAGACAAAGGAAAACATTTTACTACAATCTAGATCGCGCTTTTCTTGGTACTACACTATAGTAATTATGTCACTAACTCAAATCCAAAAATGATCAATTTTAGTTGGTTTTTATCTTATAACTATATAATGCGCACGTGTTTTCGATTTCACATACGATACAAATACGACATACTTAATTATTGGCTTAATGTGTGTACATGCTAGAAATGATTAAATGTAATCACTGGGAATGAAAATTAAACGGCAAATATGTGTACATTTAAGTTACATTAAAAGTTTTAACATGTTAAATATAATATAATATTTAACTGGAAGAAACTTTAACCGAATTTAAATTACTAATTATTCCTAAAATAAAGGTAATTTATGTATTTTTTAGCCATGTTAAAAAATGCATTTAATAAAACGAATACATGCCGATGTTTGAAACATCTCTTGTGAATATTACATATTATCTTGACATGAAAATTGATGAAAATGATATTTCAATTTTTTTTAATAAGACTTTACAACATTCATGTTGAAATCCAGCTTTAAAAATAATTATTACAATTAATCTGCTAACTTAGCGGTAAAATAACCTTGAACCCGAAAGACAAATTGAATTTTAAAGTTTTATTAGTTAGTTACACTAAAAAAATAGTAATCCTTTAAATAAATAATTATTATGAAGAGTAACAGAAACACTTAATGTGAATGGTTAAATATGTTCAAAAGGATATGATTTTTGGTTTAACAAAGTGTATCTACTCTGTAATTTACAACAAAATTTTTTTTTTTAACCAATTTGATGATAAATAAATAAATAAAAATCGCTGAAATTATCTAAGCATAATGTAACTAAATGTAAGCATTAAATCATCAGAAAATATAAGTAGAACAAACTTGGAAGTTTGGAAAAGTGGACAACTTACAAGTGCGAATTTATTCATTTACAGTAGACAATTAATTGAAATTAAGGGAACAGTATTTTGATGTGCACTACAGAGAATAATAAAAAAAGGTCATGAAATTAAAATACTAACGCCAAGAGAATTGTGATATGGGAAAATGGAACTTATAGTTCCGTGCGCCAAATCCATATACAATATATACATTGTAGTTTATATTACAATGATGAAATATCGAAGAGATGGAGATCTCCAATCATTGGCAATAGTGTAATTTAATTTGTTTTTTCTTTGGCAGACAATTGTCGACATTATCGTAAATAGTTATTTAAAAAAAAAAAATTGTGTAAATTATTGTTATAGACTTGGATATTATTTATTTACTAACTACGCAGCCTATTTTTATTTCTTCGAGTTATGAATAATACTTTATATTAAATTATTATTATGTTTATCGTTAATTCGAACCAAAACAGACACATTGATGTTATGATTATCTCAATAATTTATACTGTGACAATGGAGTGAATGACTGTGGAAATAAACTTTATCCCGTTTGTTCTTCGACGGTTATTTTTAACAACTGTTAGTTGAATACGATTTCTATTGTTTGTCTCCGAGACTCGTTCCAAATTCTTATGGCGGCATGATTACGGTTTCCGTAATATTGTCTTTCTAAATTTATATTGTAAAACATTTTCGAATTTAAAGAAACCATTTCATTTTAACATTTTACGCGTTCGTCCTTCACACATTCCTGATTATAAACTCCAAGTTTTAAAACAATAATAAACTATTTACATTTTTTAAACATTTTTTTTTGTGTGCGTTTATTTTTGCTTATTTCAGCGCTGCGACTGAACGGACGGAATGCCTTTAAATCGCACATAGTTAGTTTAACCACAGATAGATAAATATAAAATTATATTTTTGAATTGTATTAAATTTAATTGTACATACCTTCTTATTATTGTTTTGGATATTGATGTGTGTGTATGTGTGTGTGTGTGTGTGTGTGTTGATCTGATCGAGTTTCAAAAAAGATGTTAATTTGTTTTATTCTATTTATTTGTAGGATTTATAAAAAAAAAAAAAAAAAAAAAAACCAAAAAATTTACATAAGACGAAAATTTCCAAAGGAAAAATGATCCATTGAACGGAATTCTCCAACCAACTCTTCTGAACGGAAGAGTTTTGGACACCGTCAAAAATTGTTGTTATTTTTTTTGTTCCAAAAAAACAAAATATCGCGTTAATCTATTACCAGGGAAAAGATGTTTCTGTAACGAGCTATCAACGCGGCGGGTCTTTATTGTTCGTAAGTTCTCGTTATTTGCATAGTATACGTGTATCCTGTATGTTATTTGTGAAAATCACTAACCATTGTTCAAACTTAATACAGAGAGATTAATTGTTTTTTTCCGTCTTGATAGGATGTATAAAACACTGTACAACCGTATAAAGCTATTACAATAATTAATAAGCCTGTGAACCGTGAATAGGTAGTATATTTTTTTATTTTTATTTTTAAATCATAAATTAATTTTTTTTTTTATTTAGAATCTTATATCTAGCAGTGTAGAATGCACTATAAATAATTTCAAACACACAAAATAAATCACCATACTATACACACCCTTGCTATACGTATCCATTTCAAAATCAACATTTAAAATGTACGTATCCCGTTATGACCCGTCGGTGCTTACAAATTTCCCAACAAAAAGTTTAAATCAAATATTTTCCAAAAAAAAATTGTTAATACTGGATATCCGGCATTCGCTGACGTTTAACGCCCGAAACACGGCATGGGAATAAATTTACAAAAAACACGCCGAAGATGGGGCAAACAAATTACTTATCCCGACATTAAAACGAACGAATAATAACGAAAATTGTACAATTGAAATCTTACCGTTGAATAGCGTACCGCGTTATTTAAATTCGGCGTTGGGGGAGCAATACAATAAGATTGCATTTTCATACAAATGCTCAGTTACACTAATTTTTACTATAACGTTACGGATAATTATTTGAGATGTTTAAAACAATAGGAAAACTATGAAATCGGCCGAATAACAGTGCAACGGGCTCCGCAGTACGAATCCCCGTGACAATCTCGTAAATTGTACTTAACGTTTACACAATAAAAAAAAGATACTATTGTCTCTCTTGAAAATATTTATCGTTGCATCCCGATAGTTGAATACCGTATACAGGGTATTCCACGGAGATTTGACAGGTAAAATTATTTTTATTCTGTTCAATACGTTTAATGTAATTTCTGGAACAATATTATTTTGGTGTTGCAAATATTATTTACTTACGATGAGTTATTAGTTTTCATAACTTTTCAAATTTTACAAAAATCATTTACAAAAAAATAATATTTAATAGAAAAAATGGTTGGTACCGTGTTCAATGTCTACGTTATTGTGTTGTCTTATCGTGTAAATTATACATAACGAATACAATAAAAACCAAATATAATATAACGGAAATAACGTTAACGATTATATTTATCTCCTTTAGGTTAGAAATTAAATTAATAAATACGTAAATATTATACGAAAAATAAATAAATTTTAAAATTTATAAACACCAATAGGTCAACGGTTGTTTACATAATATTAGCTATTCGTTGATTTTGTTTCAATAAACAATTTCGGTTTAACATCATAGTTTAACGAATTAAATATAACAGGGCCAATATAGTACATGAATATTTGACCGCAAATTACTAATTATTAATAATTCACTGTAACACGTACTGCTCCGTGTTGACTTTTATGTTCGTAGCGAACAGAAGGATCTGTTAGTTTGACTATGATATTCGTGTATTTTTTTTTTTTTTCTGTCACCAAATTTTTTACCAAAAAACTTGCTCCGAAGCATGAACAATAGCACCTTTTCTAAAAGTATAATTGTCTATAGTTGGTGCATTGAAGTTGGTCATTGTTCAAATTTTCCAATGGGTTTTTGAAATAATTGGGAAAAACCAAAAGAAAACTTTAGGTAAAACGGCAAATATTTTCGCCGATTTTTTCTATCAGAAATATTGCTCCAATCCAAAAAACGACTATATATCAATTTTGTTCCTTATGATATTTCGCTATTAAATAATTAGTTTTCCTAGTAATTGGAAAAAAAATACTAAAAATTCGAATTGATTAGTATTTACGGTAGCGTATCGTTCAGGTTTCATAATTTTAGTATGTTTGACTTATGTTTACCATGAGAAATATTACTCCAATCGATAAATGACAAAAAATTTATTTCGTTTCTTTTAACACATGGCCATTGAATAATAAAGTCGTTTTTCGATATCTCAAGTTTTTTTCACAATAATCGGACATCGCCAAAAAAAAAACGAAATATACGATTTTTCTATGTTACGGCACAACGATTTTATTTATTTTGAATTTTTTCGGCATGTGTTTATCACCGTGAAAATTGCTCAAACAGATAAACGACCAAAGACCTTTTTTTGTAAATAAGACCGTTTTTTTTATTTTATTTGTAGTTGATTTAATAATTGAGCAAAACCGCAAAATACTTGGAAAAAAATAAAAAATTTATGAAAACAATTCTTTTATTATTTTTAATTTTGTTTTAGATTCCAAGTGGAGGGAGGAATGTATTATTTTTACAATGATGTTTATTTTGTTTTATTATTGAACACTTTTGCTACCACCATAAAGCTTGCAATTCTCATTGATATTCGAGATAATGAGGAAATACTGGTTCTTTGGGTTACAAAAGATCGAACGATTAAAAATACGATTTATAGTAACATAGAGGTTTATAATAACGTTTTTATAAAAATAAATAACCACCGTGCTCCTCTCTAGTTTTCATTACAAACAAGTAGAGCATAAACGCGTTGAATAGCACAAAAGTTATTGTCATTTATCGGGATCTCCGCGAGGCACCCTGTATACTCGAACCACATCAGTGTGAACAGTTCTTATTATAATACGAGTATAACGTGATGACAATAATATTATTTCAAGAGCGGTCGCTGAATACAAAAATAATCATTCGGTCGGTCGGCGACGACGATGACGACCGACGATTACGATAATATTTCAAACTGCACGCGCTTTCCTACAGCGTCGTCGCCGTCTGTATAATAAAGGATAATGGGGTTTTTTTTTTTTTCCGAAAACGAAACATAACCGATAAAACGGTGAATTAATATTATAAGAATGAGGGGGCGAACTGTGTCCGACGAGGATATCGCCGTATCTCTCCGTGGCCGACAAAAAATTAATGGCCAGCAATTAAATAAAATGGACGAGAGCGGAATAGCAAAAATAAGAGCCCCGCGGGAAATCGCTACCGCTTCCCGACCACAGCCTTCTCTGTAGTCAAAAAACTACGTACGCGAGCTCATACATCTAATATCGGGTTCATGACTGCAACGACTCAACAAAAATAAAAAAGTGATCTAGTCAGGTACTTTTCTCCCCCGTTTCAAAACAATTTCAATTCGAGAACGTAACAGAAATCAGTTAAATTATTGTTAATAAATTCTTTTTTTTTTTTTTTAAATAACATAATATTATTATAGTTCTAAAACGAACCAAGTAAGTATGGTTATCGTAATAAATTTATGTAAACATGTCACCTAAAGAATCGTAAAGTAATGTCGTGTGTGTAACCCAAAACTTGTATTCACGCCTAATTTATCTCATGTTTTATATTTGAGCAAATATACGTTGAATTTTGAAAATTGGTTTTTTTGTAGATGTATTGCATTGGTACCTAATCGAATACAATAATATCGTATTATTATTAGGTCCCGGATTCAGATTGTAAGACCGATCCTGACTCACGGCTGCTAAGCGTACACAACAACTGGCCACACTGTAAAGTACCGATTGACTTTTGAAAATATCGTACATCGTGGAGGAATACAATATGTGGCCATGGGTGTGTACGAAATAACAAATAATCATACAAAAAAACAAAACGACGGTGATGATTTACGCGTCATATTCAAAGCAATTTCACGAGTCAGTAGTTTTAACAGAGAACAAAAGCTATGCAACGGCTAGGGCGTGTTACACGAAGAGAAGACATCGATACCGTCATGGCGGCGCTAGAATGGAAATCACCGCGAACAAATTCTCGTGACAGACGTGGAAACAGTTTGATCGAATGTAGTCGAACTATGGAATCGTTAGAGCAAAGACTGGTTTCAACAACACAAACAGCCTTAAGTACAGGCGTCTGTAACCGGCAATAAACCGTTCTTGTGGTATTTTCAAGCGTATTATTATGTGTGTCGATTGTGTGATTTATTGATCCGTTGCTATGTCGCTAAATTATTTGCCGTTATACCCGGCATATCGATATCGTTTACTTATTTTTCGATTAGGAAGAACCGATATAAAATTACATGCATAAACGACAACTTTTTAAATCCGTGGTAATATTTAATAAAAAAAAATTAAAAAAATGGAAATACTTCGCACGTGGGTGCAGCCACTATTGTGAGTGGGACGTTAGGAAGATAAAGTACAAACGGGAATTTAATGTATATCTGTGAGGAACGAAAACCATTGCTAACGAAATAATGATTCTCAGCGGAGTTCAGTTTATTGTAATTCTTTATCAAAAATATATAAGTCATATTATGGTAAAATGTTAACAAAACGTTGCGTTTCCGCGAAAACAATGATTGTTTAAAAAATATTAAAAATGTTAAAAATTTAATAATATCAAAATATAAACAAAAACGATTGCCGATGAAAACGTTGTTCTTAATCTTTCAAACTTTTTTAACCTAAAGAACCGGGTTTTTTTTCTCTTTATCTCGAATATTATCGAGAATTTCAAACGACCTATTCAAAGAACTTTCAGAGAACATCTTTTTTTCAAAAAAAGGTGCTATACTTGATAATTGTTGTAAGGTTGGTGGCAGAATGTGTTCACAAAAAAAAAAAAAAAAAAAAAAAACCAAAACCATTGTAAAACCAATACATTCCTCCCTCCGCTCGGAACCTAAAATTCTCCTCTTTTTTTTTTTTTTTTTTTTTTTTTTTTTTTCTATACTATAAAATACATTCATGGATTATGGATTATCCTCACGGTACTCCGGGACAGATAAATGTAAACTATACCCGGAGAACATATTATTACGGTCTGCGGTTACGGCCATTGCTCTATAAGGGGCCGATCGCCGAATCGGATAGTAAAATATAGACAAGTAGGTTACGCTTCGTGTTTTTGCGAGTGTATACTTGTGAAAAAAAAAAAAAAAATAAAAGGAAAAATTAATATAATAATAACGATATTATTGTACGGAACGGTTTCCGAGGCGAGTTTGATAATAATGTATACTATAACAACAAGGTATCCCTCGCACTCTCTCCCTCTCTCTCTCTCACACTCACACTCTCTCTCTCTCTCTATCTAACTCTCACTCTCCCCGTCCCGATTTATCGTGCGAAACAAAAATACGACATAAATCATAGCTGCTATACCGACGGCACGGGGCCCACCGTATATATGCGGCCGTTTTGTATTCATCGCTGTCGGGTTAACCAGTGGATGGCATCATTTATAACGGAAAGCGCCTCCGGCGATCCCCGAAATTCCTGCGCCCCGGTCGCTGCCGAAACGCACACGAGTAACAAGCGCGCGCACACACGGACGCACACGCACACGCGTGCGAGCGAACGCGCCCGCATGCACACACACGCGCGTAACGCGAATCGCGCGCGCGCCGAATACTCACGTTCACCGGCGAGTTTCTTCCGTCCGGCGAGTAATCGCACGCGGACGGGCCGTCGTCATCGTTATAATTTACGGTCCCGCCGTACGAGATTTCGCGGGCGATGCGTCCGGCGGCGGCGGCGGCGGCGGCCCGCCGAAATATTTCGTCGCCGGCCGCGGCGACGTAACTGCACGGCCGCGGGGCCAGGGTGCGCGCGATCGCCGCCGCCGTAAAAACTACTCTCGTTCGCGGACGTATGTTTATAACGACGGGCACGTAGCCAAAAAAAAAAAAAAAAAAAAACCGTTCGCCGTGCGGGTCATTATTTAGGAAGCCTCCTCCGCCGACCGCCCACCCACCCCCCTTCGAAATTTTCTGCGTTATGAAAAGATAGTGTTATGAGCGCATTAAAACTATAAACATATAACAATATCTTTTTTATATTTTTTTGACTTAGCCGATAATATTATAGATAAAAAAACCACATATATGGGTACCACAAATTAATGTTTCCTTTTGCTTTGACCGAAAAT